TGTGTGTGTGTGTGTGTGTGTGTGTGTGTGTGTGTGTGTGTGTGTGTTGGATTTATAGACCAGTTTTGGGAGAATAGAGATCGGAACAGTTTTGAGCTTTCAGAGCCATTAACATTGTACATCTTTTGATTTCAGTAATGCTTTGTAGAGTGTAGAGGTCATGGACTTTTTTTTTTTTTGGCTAGATTTAATCTTAGGCATGTAAAGTTTTTTATATTTCAATTTCCATTAGTTTTTGCTATTAGATAGAAATACAACTGATTTTTATATATAAACCTTGAGTCCTGCAATTTTGATGAACTGACTTATTCTATTGTGACTTTTTGTAGCTTCCATGAGGGTTTTCTGTGTACACAATAGTGTCTCTGACAATATCAATTTTCTTCTTCCTTCCCGATTATTTAATTAATTAATTCATTTATTTACGAACTGGCTAGAGTTTCTACCATGTTATTGAATAAAAATAGTAAGAACAGGCATTTCTGCTTTGTTCCTATCTTAGATGGAAAAAGTTCAATGTTTCACAATTAAGTATGATTATAGACCAAGATTTTAAAAAATATATGCCTTTTATCACATTGAAGAAATTACTTTCTATTGCTAGTTATGCTGAGAGTTTCTATCATAAAAGGGTATTGAGTTTTGTCAAGAAAACAAAGATTTTTTTCTGCATCTATTGAGATAATATGGTACTTCATTTTTACTCTATTACTGTGGTGAGTTATGATTCATTTTGTTGATGGTTTCCTTTGCTATGCAAAAGACTAAGTTTGATTAGGTTTCTTTTTGCTTTTGTTACTTTTCTTTGGGTGTCAAATCCAAAAAAATCATCACCAAGACCTATGTCAAGGAGCTTACTGCCTATGTTTCCTTCTAGGAATTTTCTTGTTTCCGGTCATTGAGGTCTTTTTCTGCCTGTTTCAGAGTTGCACTAAAACCCCGCACCGAAGCCAGTCTTGTTTTGAGGATAGAAAATGCAAAGATGACTTCTGGGGTTTGCATGCCCTGTCCTTCCCAGGGTTAACATTACAAGGCGGCAGAATTACAAGATGGCCTCAACTTGTACCTAGGGAGACTGTGGAAAGATCCCTAGTCCTATTTTATGAGGCTCATTCAGGATTAGAGCCTCAGCTTCAGAGGTCCCGTCCTCCGGGTGAAGACTTGGACTTCAGAGTTAGGACTCTAGCACCTCTTTATGAATAAATTACCTCCTTTTAAAAGGCCATCAGAGCTATAATCCAGGAATAGTAGGTCAAGTTCCCTTGGGGATTTGCTTAGGGAGGTCTTGAGTTTGCTACACTAGCAGAGATTTTAAGCAGGTACCTGGGGAAGTGGAGCATGGATACAGCAGTATGAAGTATTAGAGCGGTTAGGTGGAGTACCATAAGTTTGGGGAAGGGTCCATAAAACTGAGATGGGTCCAAGTCACCTGGAGGTAGAGTTGTCATCCACGTGATTTCTAAACGTCTCTACCATTCCTGGTTCAGAGTTATCTCCCAGGCAGGGAGGGCGGAGATTATGTGAACAGCACTGGATCAGCTGACTAACCCCTCCTTTCTGCTGCCAAGGTTAGGGAGGGTGAGGAGAGACTGTCTAATGGTTTCCTCACAGCGGGAGGAGGGGCCCAAGGGCGAGAGGGGACAAACAGAACGAAGACAGACAGAACCGCTCTCATTTCTCCCCAAGCCCTCAGCCAGCACCTTTCCTTCGCTGCCTGCGCATCAGGTCCCCTGTGCGGGGGCGGGGCAGGGGTCTCGGCCCCGCAGCTTCTACAGGAGCAAGGATGGCGGGGCAGCAGGCGCTGCTTCTAGTCGGATTCCTACTTCCTACTGCCTGGCCTCCTCCTCTCAGAGGCTGCCAAAATCCTAACTCTGTCCCTGGTGGGTAAGTGTTTGGCCAAAGATCCAGAGACAGGCAAACGGCGCTTGGTGAGAGAGTCGTGTGTTTTTCCAGTCTGGAGCAGGTTTGTTACCCTGGCCGGCGGATGAAAAGCGGGGAGCCATTTGTGCAGGTAGGAACGGGGCTGGGGCCAGAAGTTTGAGATCCAGCCCAGTGCAGGAGGCCCCCGGCCGCCTCCTCCAGGGCGCGGGCTGGACATTCAGAGGCTCACCCTAAACTTCTGGAGGGCGCACAGCAGTTGCCGGTAAAGACTGGGGCTAACTAGCGGTTTGCAGTTCTCGGAGGCCAAGGAAAGGTGCTCCTGGGGGCAGCAGTAATAATTTTCTGAGGGTGCCCAGGAGCCAAGGTGGAGCAGGGAAGATACTACAGTGACAATTAGGAGAGTGGAGTGTTTCATCCCGAGGAATTTATCAGGATACAGGGATAATCATAGGATGGAGCTTCCCCAAGACTTTATTTTAACCCATAGTGGGCTCTCTTAGATCACTTTTACATCACTGAGAATCAGGGGATCTTAGAGCTGCAAGGAACCGTAAATCATCAAATTAAGTCCCCACTAGCTTTTCCTGAGCAGGAAATGAAAGGTCGGGGAAGTGAGGTGCCGACGGCAGGAGCATACGGGACCTCCCTAATGGAACATACCAAATATTTACTCAGGATTTCCCACCCCCAAGATCATCATCTCCAAGTGGGGAGTTTTAAAAATCACTTTATCTCTATTTGAAAGCTTTTTTTCTTTTTCTTTTTCTTTTTTTTTTGGCCGCACTATGCGGCATTCGGAACTTCCCCAACCAGGGGTGGAACCCATACCCCGCTGCAGTGGAAGGGCGGAGTCTTAACCACTAGACCACCAGGGAAGTCCTAAAATCTTTTTTTCCTGCTGACTGTTTGTAGTAATAATGCAAGAGAGCTTCCTCACCCCTTAAAAGTACACTGTTCCCCAGCCTCAGGCTCTGAGACGGAGCTGGTGCGGTTTGTGAGGGGCTGGACACCCAGGAGGCACTGGGGTCCCCAAGACCCTCCATGAGCGGATGAATGTGTAGTTGCCCTTCATCCTGCCCTTTCTCCCGGGTCTTGGGATTAAAATGTGGGCCAGAGGTGTGGGGAATTTGTACTTTATAATTTCCTGTTACGTCAGGCTGTACAATTATGTGTATAAAAAAATTAAGGGTTTCCCTGGTGGCGCAGTGGTTGAGAGTCCGCCTGCTGATGCAGGGGACACGGGTTCGCGCCCCGGTCCGGGAAGATCCCACATGCCGCGGAGCGGCTGGGCCCGTGAGCCATGGCCCTTGAGCCTGCGCGTCCGGAGCCTGTGCTCCGCAACGGGAGAGGCCACAACAGTGAGAGGCCCGCGTACAGCAAAAAAAAAAAAAAAAAAAAAAAAAAATTAAGAAGTAGCTGCAGACTTTTTCTCCTGCACCACCCGGAGCAGCTTTGTTACCCTGGCGGGCGGACGAAGAGGGAGGAGCCATTTGTGCGGGTCGGTGGGGGGCAGGGTAGGTACTCCATCCCTCTAACCCCAGTCTCCAAACCCTTGCCATTTGCCATTAATTTCTCTCCTGATTTAGCTTTCTCTGCTGCTGAGACCCTTAGATTCAAGCAAAGTGCCTGTGTTGGTGCGGGTTCGAAGAGGAGACCTTAGTGAGATGGAGCCCCGCTCCCAAGGATTGAGCTTATGTTTCCTTAGGATCCCAGGATTGTCCTTGGATAGACGATGTCCCAGCCACTCATGCATATAGGATCCTGCAGGCCCATCCCATGGACCCCACAGTTATCCTGCAAGTCTATCCCCAAGTCTTAATGGATGTGAAACATTCAGGCCCCAACTGAGAAACTTCCTGCCAAATATATTTGAACTGCAAGCATTTTGGCTCCAACTGATAGCTCCACGTCCTTCTGCTGCAGTGGTTGCTTCTTGGACTGTTATTCAAGCACCCATATTTCTGGTTCCTACTCTTGCATACTTTCCAAAGAGAAGGATCCCAGAAATAGCTCTGATTGCTTGTCCATTAGGACCCCTTCACACTCACATGCACGGCACCATGCCACAATTTCCACTAGTGCAGTTATTTCTTTAGGACATGGTGTCTCCATAAGTCCCTGGCTGAAATGCAGTATGTACCTTAGGATCAGGAACTCCTTAGGGCCTAAGCCCCGAGAAGCTTATCACACTGACATGGAGGCCAGAGTTCCAAGAGGAAATCTTTGATGGAGGTTTGCCACTTGTCAAGGAGCTGGGCCAGCAGGCTCTGGGTGAGTGGGCTAGGGCTTACTCAGAATGCGATGGAGAGACTGAGTGATGACGCTCATTTCCTCTACTCCCTGGCAACTTTCTGCTTCCCTACCCCTCCTCTCCTGGATTTGTCAGCCCATCAATCTTAGAATCTCTACTCTCATCATTACAAAAATGAAGTTGTGTACTGTTCCTAGGTGGAAGCCATTTTCTACTGATGAATCGGGTCTCTCAGATTCTTCAAGATCATGGTTGTAATGTCACCATGCTTCTCCAGAGAGGAAATTTATTGCCACCAGGTATCTTCCCCACTAATTCTTGATTGGGTGTATTCCAGGCAAGGAACAGCAATAGCAATGCCTTTTGCATAGAGGGTCTTTTCAAAGAGTTTCTTCAAATGTAACTGGACTGAAAGAATGAAAAGGGTGAGTGTGTGCATGTGTGTGTTTGTGTGTGTGTCTATGTAAGGTGTAGGAAAACTTCCTGGCTCTTTCCACCAGGACTCCATGCTCTGTAGTTCTATGTTCTCCTCCTGTACCTGACTTCCAGTCCATCTCAAGCAACCCTCCACACATTATCACAGACCATTTTGGTAATGCTACTTTATAACTTGGCTTGAAAACCTGTTGAACAGATGTGTTATCCATGTATAAGATTTCTAATAGGTAAGGATCACTTTTTTCTATGGCATAGATGACTTCTCCTCTTATGGTATCTGAAATTTAAGGAAGTTTTCTCAGGAGGTCCCTTATTTATGCAACTAAGATCAGAATCTACCATTGAGATGATCTTGTTTTCTTGAAAATTAGTGACTGCCCGTGAGTTTGTGCATACTGATGTAGGAAGTGCCTAAACCCAAAGAGTTTAGCTAGAATGAGCTCCTAAATCTTAGCAACTCCTCTCTATTGACAGAAAAGGAAACAGCAGCCCTAAGAACTTGAACAATTTACTCAGGGTCACACGGCAGGTTAATAAGTGTGTTGGGTGGGTTTAGGACTTTAAGCTCTGGATTGCTCATTCTGAAGTATTGCTCAGGCTTTGATTTAAGAAAAAAATGCAGTATTAAGCGGACTCTTTGAAGAATAAAATTGTGAGAAATTATAAAACTTTGAAGGTGACTTCAGACTTTGTAATTGTTCAGATTGTTTTAAAATAATTCTTTTTCTGTTGAAATTTCTTTCACGTTTTTTATTGTGATAAAATATACATTACATGAAACTGACCACTGTAACCATTTTTGTATAGAGTTTAGTGACTTCAAGTACATTCACACGGTTGTGCAACTATCTCTGCCATCCACCTCCAGAACTTTTTTATCATTACAAACTAGAACTCTGTACCCATTAAAAATAACTGCTCATTACCCATTGCCCCAGCCCCTGGTAAACACTATTCTACATTACTTCTCTAGTAATTTGACTATTCTAGATACCTTATATAGGTGGAATCATACAATATTTGTCTTTTGTATCTTGCACATTTCACTTAGCATAATATCTTTTAGGCTCATTCATGTTGGAGTATGTATCAGCATTTTCTTCCTTTTTAAGGCTGAATAACATTTTATTGAATGTATATACCATATTTTATTTGTTCATTTGTTGATGGACATTTCTGTTGTTTCCACCTTTTGGATATGTTAGTAATGCTGCCATGAACATTGGTGTACAAATATCTGTTTGAGTCTCTACTTAAAACCATTCTAGGGGCTTCCCTGGTGGCGCAGTGGTTGGGAGTCCGCCTGCCGATGCAGGGGACACGGGTTCGTGCCCCGGTCCGGGAAGATCCCACATGCCGCGGAGCGGCTGGGCCCATGAGCCATGGCCACTGAGCCTGCACGTCCGGAGCCTGTGCTCCGCAGCGGGAGAGGCCACAGCAGTGAGAGGCCCGCGTGCCACAAAAAA